GAATTTCCTCATCTCCTGGAATCATCATACATAATTTTCTTAAGGCATTTTTATTATTTCTTCCTTCAAGAAACACATTAGTACAGAACCGGGAACTTTGAAACACACACACACACACACACACACACACACACACAGAGTAATGGAGCATACGCCTAACTCTACTTACCTAAAAGTGGATTGTCTATTTTGTGTACTGTTCACAAGGTCTAGAAAGGACTTACTGGATCATGCTATTTTTTTAAAGAGGTTTTTTGCTATAGGGTGTGTGTGCTCACCAGAAAGACAAAGAGAGACAGACAGAAAGTGAGAAATCACCCCCTGGGGGGATGGTCATGCCACAATCCCTTCTCCTCCATTCTCCTCTCGGGATCTTGGGCACACAGCACATGTGCCTGGTGTGAATTTAAGCCACTGGGTCCGGGACTCAAACTGCAGTTGACTACATGGGAGTCCAGTGACATGGCCATTACACCAACTACTGGTCCCGGGACCATGCTATTTTGGTAAGGCTAATAAAGAAGGAAATACAAGGTGATCAGATAGGTAGCAAAGACCTGGCAGCTAAGAAAACATTTACAAAAAAACCTAAAGATTGAGTTAATCAGTCAACAGGGAGAAGTAAGAAGAATGTTCTAGGAAGGAGAATGCTTTCCAATGAATTTAGATTTAAGAATAGCAAAGATGGTAAAGATCAATTAGCTTATCAAAGACATTTAAATAGTATAGCAATTGAACTTTTTTTCTATAGATATTGAAGAACAATGAAAGCATTTGAGGACCTGTAGAATAATGCTCTATATTTTATAAAGAACATTCTGGTAGTTGGGTGAAAACAGATTGGGCAAGAATGGAGGCAGTATGGATAGTTTAAGAAGATGATAAACTTACTATTGGGTGAACAGAAACTGTGTCTTGATTGTCAGGTTCTGATTTGAAAAAAAAGATAAAAAGGGAACTGTTCTAGGAATCTCTGCAAGCAAGACAAAATAGACAAGGAGTAGTGATGATGGAGAAAAGGAGAGAAGTAAATAATTAAATTTTCAACTTAAACTTTGTACCTATTGACCAGTATTTTTCCTTTCCCATAGACTGTGGTGTCCTTTTGCACAGCACAGTGACTATCATTAATAATATTTCAAAATAGCTAAAAGAATTTTAAGTGCCCTCACCACAAAGAAATGATATTCAAGGTGATAAATATGCTAATTACTCTGATTTGATGACTCTACAATATGCATATTTATGGAAATATCACTTAGTCACCCATAAATGTAAGCAATTATCAATAAATTAAAGAAAAAATTTTAAAATCTTTTAAAACAGAAATATTTAGAATATAAAATCAACAAAACTTTTTGAGTAATTTGATTTGAGATGGTAACAACAGGTAAAAGCAAAGGTAAAACCTAATCAGGTTTGAACAACTGAGAGAACTCATTACAGGATAGTCTTGGTAATTGTAAAAATTTATGAGTTTAATTATGAGAATGTTGGTATATGCTTCAAGAGGGATTTAAGATATGCATGTAGGATTTGGGAGACACAACTTTCCTGGAAAGAAATAAAGCCATGAAAGCACTTACGATTTCTAAGAATGTGTAGAATAAAGAAAGAAGATGGTCTCCAAAATATGCATAGTAATACTAATACAGGTGATCAGAGAAGTCTGAGAAGAACAGAAAGACGGGAGAGAAACCAGGGGAGTATGGCCTCTGGAAGCTAGGAGAAAAAAAACAAAACAAAACTTTTTCAGAAAAACTTGCTCAACACCTGTTGGTTCATCAGTTTATTAATACACAGATACTTGTTAAGCTCCTACTTTGTGTCAAGAAGAGCTGGGTAAAACCTGTAAATGAGCTCTGCTTTCAGGAGCTATGGTAAATGGAGAAAGAAATTTAATCCCAGCAATCACACACATAAATATTTCCCCATCGGGCCAGCTCCACGGCCTGGTGGTTAAGGGAGACAGACCACCTATGGCCAGCTGTGCAGTTTGAATCCCAGACCTAGTGACTTGAAGAATACTGTGTGTGTGTGCGTGTGCCAAAATCCAGACAGGGTGGGGAAATGGAAAAGGGATTATAGCATGCATATGCCCTATTGGGGGGTGCTTTCTCTCTTCTCTCTAGTAAGTGTATGTTCCCTCTGGAAAATAAAAAAAAGTCCCTGTAAACTAATAAATTGCAAAAATTCTGAAGAGTTATACATGTATGTATAGGTGAACTTCTATTCTGTGACATCTGAGAACCTCTGTCTCAAGAAGTGGACTCTTAAGTTCAAACTAATTAACCTAGTATCTGGAGAATGAACAGGAGCCAATAAGGCTTGGGGTAAGTGAGGACACCTGGCCAGAGGAACTGCAAGTACAAAGCACCTAATATATGAAGGTCAGGCCCATCTGACCTAAGCTTTAGGAATATTCCTGAAATTTTATTTTAGCATGACAGTGATCTAAGCTTCCAGAAGTTTTAAGACGTAAAATTTGGGCCGTCCCTATAGTACAACAGTTAAACACTGTGCAGAGAAAGCCAGATTCCACATGGCCAACCAAGGTTCAAGTCCCAGCTCTAGAGGCTTGAAAAATGCACCTGGAAAGCATGTACCAAGGATTCTGATAGGATGGAAAAGTGATGGAGGAAAAGGACTGTGGCATGACTGTCCCCATTTGAAGAGACATTCTTTCTTTCTTTCCTTTGCTATCTCTCCCTTTTTTGCGTGCATGCATGAGACCTCTGGCATTTTTTTAAAAAAAGAAGTGAAACTTTATTACTTTTGGGCAAGCAATCATACAGGGAAGGAAAGGGAGAAAGCACCCCCAATAGATTGTGGTCATGTTACACTTTTCTCTACTTATCCATCCTGCTAGGATCTGGGACATGAACACACATATACCGTGTGTGTGTGTGCGTCGCCAGGGCTAAGATCTGAATGGTGATTGGCTGTGTGAGATTCAGCTCCGTAACCACTAGGCCATGGGTCTGGTATCTACATTTCTTTCTAAATTTCTTCCTTTCATGAGAGGAGGAGAGACCCCCTCCAACCCCTGTCCCAACAGGGTCTTCTTGCTAGGCCACAGACAAACTCTATCCCCAAGCCTTTTAGCTAGCTAGGATCATGGACATAGCTGCAGACATACCCAGTGCTTTTAGGTGGGTCGAGAAACCAAATCTAGGACCGTCCCATATGACTCCAGTATTGTACACCCAACTATCCTGCCACCTGCACACCACTGCTGGGCCTATACACAGTTTTATAATAGAATTTTCTACCTTTTGTTTCAAGAGTTGGTGATAGTTATGCCACCCCACTATAGGTATTATTGCTGCACACACCAGCAGCAATAAATGTGAATAAAAATGTTGTGATGGTTTCTTAAATTGAGCAGAGACAAAGCATTTGTAGACTCATTGTGGACTGACAGACTCATTGACTCTAACTCCAAAGGAAATAAAATTATTTCTTTTGCTAGTAATTATTTCACATACCTTTTTAATATAAATGTATACCTGTATATAAATATTTTAAAAGTGGACTTAAATACTCAGATTTTCATTGTAATACAATAATTATAGGTAGCAAAGACTACTTTATTCCTTGGTTTTCTGGATGGAGTGCTTTCTATGTCAAATTTTTTATGGTAATTCTAAATAGTTGTTTTCTCCAATATAAAGCTTTTAAATGTTTAAATATAAGCATTTTCTTTTTGAAAAAAAGTTTTTCTTTGACCATGCTTCTTTTTTGGAAGAAGAAACTCACCACGATATATGTTGAAACAAACAATTTTTAATCATATATGTGTGCTAGATTTTGTTTCAATATGACCACTTTTGAACAACTGAATGTCTTTCAAATAAAATAATGGCTTTGACTGTGTCTCATATATAATATTTTTCTTTACTTGAAAAGTGTAGTGATTAGAGGGCCATTATTGCCCTATTAAGTTAATCAAGGCCTTTTGAGTTTCCTTTTTCTCTCATGTGACTCTATTTATTACTTAACAAGTGTGACAAATGTGGCTTAAAATAAACGTTGTGCTATTACTAATGAAAATGTGTTGGCAGCAACAGGGGTGGTAAAGGAAAATGCCACAGAGCACTCATTTTCCTCTTGATTTGCTGTAGTAGTGGCTGAGGGAAAGTTGTAATAAACAGAAAAATGGAATGGCGACTCTTTCAGCAGAGTGGAATTTTACTTTGATTTACTGAAAGGATACACATCAATAAGCAGGCAATTGGTTACAACTTACAAAACATAATAGTTGGCAGACATCAAATTATTTTTCTTCTATTTTTCACTGTGAGCTAATCCAGATTTGAAACACAATGCAGATGAATAAAAAAACACTTTACAAAATTAATGCATACTTAGGTTTAAATAACAGCTTAAAAATGACAGGGATAAAGTAATAAGAGCATGAGAAGAGACTGTCTACAAATTTGGAGCTATATCGATAACTTTATTAACCCTGCATTTGACTAAAATACCATATATTATGAGCATCAGAAATGACCATATACTACCGAGCTAGAAGCACAAAATGAAGAGAGTTTTATTATCCATTTCATTACAGTTATTGGTCATTTGAATTTAGTTCACATTTGGTTAGAAACACGTGTGATGTAAGTGTGCCCCCCTGTGGCTGTAGATTGGTTTGTACAAATATCACAGAGACCTAATGGAAAGAGGGCTTTCATTGGTTATATTATCTACTGAATTTTTACTTCGTCTCAAGCAGAGATCTGTCTCTCCTATTTTAAAAGTCAATCTCAGTTAAAGGATTCACAATTTCTTTCATAATTCTGATGCTTATTTTTAGTAGTCATACATTTTTTAAGGTTTGTTTCTTTCTTCTCTCCAAGTGAGACAGAGGGAAAGTGAGGGAAAGCAGGAGAGGGGCAAAGCCTCTAATGGGATCTACAATCCAGAGAGTTCAGGAAGCCCTAGATCATGCAGACATGCATGCTCAGTGTACTTATGGAGTTCTCCGGATGCTGAGCTCAAACTTTCTCATGTAAGAGACTTCCAGGCCTTGTGTTACCACTGTACCACTGCCCGGTCCTTAGGGTCCTACATTTTAGCCAATACATCTATCTCTGATTCTGAAATAGCATATCATAGTAAAGCCACATGAATCAACACAGAAGATTTTTTTAACTTGTGTACGTAGTGTTTGGTTAAGACAAACATAAGCAAATTCTCTGCAAGTGTTTAAAATACATCTTGTAATGAAATAGATTGATGGACCAGACGAGAAAATTTGTGCTAGTATAGGCCCGTGGCCTGAGAAGGTAGTTTGCTATTTATTTGATATACATAAAGACTTCATTTGCTTATAAACTTTGTTGATCAATAGGGTATTGGATATTTATAATAAATATTGGAGATTCTACAAAATTTGAAACTCCTTCTCTATAGTGATTCTTTGTAGAGTTCACAACTTTCATAATATTTTGAAATAAATGTCTTGCCTAGTTAACACTCTTCTTCATTGAACTTTCTAGTCATTAGTCTCAGGATGCAAAGTCTCATCTATGGACAGTTCATACTCTGAAAAGCTCTGCAAGGACTGGCTGTTAATGACCTCGTAGTGAGTGTAAGCCCACAGCAGACCTCTGACCGAGTGCGGTGAGCCTGCATTGGGCATGAATGAGTTAGGAGCATTAAAAATCGAATGCAGATAGGATTGGGAAAGATTATGAGTTCAGAAAAGAAGCTTCAAAGAATGGAAGAGGAACATGTCAGTGTAATCTTGTTTGGATGTGTTTGAGTGGCGTTCATATTTGTTGTTCATTTGAACATCTTTTGTTTGAACACATGTCGAGTGGCAAAAACTAAGGCTGCCTATTGGGGACACTGTAAAAGCAAGGGAGCTGACTTTATAGTCAGAAGTGGCTAATGGAAACAGGTGTTTCCATTTTAACCAATTATAACATT